GGGAGTATTGAAAGAAGAAAGAGAAAAAGAGAGTCAGTTGGAGATGTTGTATTATTTTGGAAGCAGAAGCCATCAACAATCAACAATGCAAAGACACAATTTACCTTTACTTTGATCTATATCACTCTAATTTAAAAAAAAAAGAAAACAAATTGGTGTCAAAATAAATGTATTCTTCATTTGTTTCAGCAAATGAGAAATAGAAAGCCTCCCTTCATTGTTAGGAAAACAATGCACAGCGGAGTAGTTCTTTGATTGTTTGAGAGACGTTTACTCCCTCTCCTTCTTTTTGTTATCACACAGACTGCAACATAAGTTAAGGACAACTCGCAAATTTGGCTAAAATTCACCGAGGATTTTTGTGCTGCACAAGGAGGTTCTGCCACTTCAGAAAGCTTTGCGGTGCACATTGTTAACCCATGAGCACTTTCAGAGCAAAACATTTTGAAAGATTAGTTTTAGTTTAGTAGGGGTTTTCGGCGCTTGCAACTGCATAAGTTCATATGAGCGCCAGAAGTTTAGAGCTGTTACAAGAGAGTAACAAACATAAAAAAGATGAAGGGGAGATAAAGACGATAGATGTTTGATAGGAAAGAAGAAGCAAACCACACCAGAGCACCCGCCAACCACCCACTTTGAAAGATTCCTTGCTGTTTTTTTTTTCGGATTAAAAAAATCAATGCTGTCTGTCAAAGCGGTCCTTAACTTATGTTGAAGTCTGTATTGTTGTTAGGACTACCTGATAGAGTCTTACAAAGAGAAACTATGGGAATATTGAACTATTGTTCTGCTGGAACGTTGTATTATTAGGGATACGTAAATTGTTCATAAACTGTCAGTCTTCATATGTTAACTCTGCTTTTCGATGTTGTCATGGATGATGGATGATGATGATGATGATTATGGTGATGATTGTGATGGTGGTGATGATGGTGGTGATGATGATGATGGTGATGATGATACGACCCACATACATTCACATACACACTCACACGTTCACATTACACGTTCACACACACACACACACACACACACACACACACACACACACACACACACACACACACACACACACACACACACACCGGACTAAAAAATACAAAGAGATTATGTATAAAAATATACATGACTGCAGCCTAATGTCCTTTTATCTCTCACTTTCCTTCTTGTTATAGGCCTGAGTTCACGGCGTCTCCTGAAATCAGAAGTCATAATTTCAACTAACTATTGCGAGTTCCGGGTTCAAAGCTCGGGTAAGTCCGACATTGTGTCCTCGGGGAAATGCAAACAACACAAATCTTCCCATTTGGCTCGTTTCTATCGGAATTGGACGTTGAAATCGGTAACCCTCTCAAATCACCTTACAGTGTCGAAAGGGACGTTAAACCTATAGTTTCGCAC